AGAATCCCCACTGAATAGTTTTCCTTTTTGCCAAATGGAGCTGTTGAAAGGGACTGGGAGATGATAGTAAGGGGATTTTATGATTCAATTCATGAGTAACTATTAACAGGATTAATTGTGAAGGTCACAACTGTATTTGTAGATGTGTAACTAAAAGGGGGGGTGCATAATCTTTCATTTCAGGACCAGAGGATTCCAGGACCATCAAGAGGAAAAAGCACGAGTGGAGCATGAGATCCTGCCTAGAAAAGCAGTGACAGCCGAGACAATAGCCGAGGAGATGGTATGGAGAGCTACAGTAGCTGCAGACGCTAGGCCCATGGACTGAGGAAGGCTGTGTGCCTACAGGCAGGAAGCTGGCTTGCAAAATGTGCCCTTTGGACATTTAAATGAATATATATATATTTTTTTGTATGTATACATCAAATATTTTTGCTTTGTTGATTTGTGAAAAATAAGATGTAAAAGGGAAACCACAGGGAGGAAGCAGGATAACTGTTGTTGCAGGAGGGGATTGTAATCATTTAGATTAAACAAAATATATGATTGGTTGAAAGTAAAGCTGATGATCTTGTCTGTTAACCTTCACTCAATTCACAATAAAACGTTAAAAAGGAAAAAAAAAAAAAAAAAAAAGAGTAGCATAAAAGGATACGTTCAAGGACCCATCCTGCCCACAAAGACAGAGGTGGTCTCTTACTGCATCGCACCCGAAGCCTGCTCATTAGTCTTTGGGCATGTGTAATCTGCTCTACATGACGAGGCTTTATGGAAAAGCGCACTAGCTGATGTTGATCTCCCACCATAAGCTTCTTCTTCTGGGAAGGATCTATAACAAATATTTAAAAAGAAGAGAGGGTAAATATAAAAGTACAGTCTTTTGGGAATATGAAGAACAGGTAGGGTTGGGGATAGGGTTAAAAAACAACAACAAAACTTGGTGTCTTTTGAATAGATTCTGGATCATGGCAACCCCATGTGTGTCAGAGCAAAACTGAGCTCCAATGGATTTTTTTTTTTTTTT